TCATCACGTGGCGTGGTAATTTTCTTTCGTCCACAATTTTTTGCACGTTTCGGCGTCAGGTCCACATTTGTGTCAAGTTTTTTTTTTTATTCGGTCAACTGATGCCCTCGAAACATTAGCAATCGATGCAATCTTTCTTTGGGAATGCCCAGTATGCAATAATAAAGTTTTAATTTCGGAAATTTTCCTTGGAGACAGATCTTTAGCTTTTCCCATGATTAAAATATATCCTGCAAATAAAATAACAAAATTTATGTGAAAATGATTTCTTTTAGCAACAAACATATTTAAGCAAGCTGCATATGGACAAACATTGTTAAAACACACCAACACTACAAAAAAATTGATAAAAATGCATAAATAATCTCCAAAATACTCACCCGGACAACGAAACTGTTAAGCGTCGACTGACTGTGTTACAACAAAATGGCGACCATGTGACAGATTATCCACTCTTTAGTGTTGCCAGTTAAAAATTCATAAAATAAACTTAGCAGACATAGTTTGAATGCAATATATATTGATTAAAATGCCAAATCGATTATTTAAGTAAAGGGCTCTAATAATATGAGCCGCCACTGTAATAGAGGTTCCAGTCAATACCCTAGATTGAGAAAGAAAATCGCACAACACAAAATGTAAAATTGATTGCTCTTCATACCTTAAGAAAAAAAAATAAACATTCATTATTTGTAATTTTATATTATTAAAATAAAATTCATTATGATCGACGCTTTCCAAAATGCGAATGAGTTCCGAGGAATCGTTCATGTTGCACTGCACTACTTTTCCCGCAATTCGTTTATGACGTCATTAGGGTGTCGTCTGTCCTTGACCACGGCGCCCAAAGAACTGATAATCGGTGACGCGCTAAGGATGCGCCAGAGTTGAGATATTAGATTTATTATGCGAAGTTGATTTGATGAAATTTTCTTTTATTTATGTAGCTGATGATAGTTTTGTGTTTCTTACCTTTTGTTTTATTCAAATCTAAATAATAGTTTAAAGAATAACACATTTGCGGTTAATTTTAAATAGTTTTCAATAAATCTATGCCTAATGCATTACAACATAAACATCAAAAATAGACGACTTTGGCGTGCTGGAATTTTGTATTTGTATTTGCTTAGATAAAAATCCATTTTTTTTAGTTCTATGTTTCTTAGTACTTGTGGCTCTAGGAGACTCACATGTTAGGCTATTCTTTTTTGAGGAATGTAGAATTAAAATACCAGTAATAATTTTCCAATATCTATATTTCATATTTTTGTGGGCCGGGTTTTTGTCAACTATAGACGTCGTTGGCGCTCAGAGCTCGCAGGTGCTGGTCAAGTATAGGCGACTTTGGCGCTCAAAAGGTTAAAAAGTAATAAAATTAAAATTTTAAAATGTCTTCAAATTTTAAATTTAAATTAATATATTATTAATTTTAACTTTTTGGTAGCACTTAATGTACCTAAATACATAAACACTTAAACAAATACTGTAGTGTTCTAATTAACTAAATTAAATCAGTCTTTAATTTGTATTATTTATGTCAAATAATGTTTTTAATGTTTTGGTTATTCTTAAAGTATTTTAATAACATAAAAATGTCCTCAAATTTTAAAATAGCTATAATCAGAACTAAAACTTAAAAAACCATAAATTGTAACTTTTTTTAGGAATCCTACATGTTCATTACATTGCAGACAATCAAAACACAATTTGTTGTTTACATTCATAAAACTGTGTAAATAATTTAAATTACAAAGAATACTACATATAGTTTTTAATTATTTGGCATTTCTTAAAGCAATAACATTAAAATGCCTTCAAATTTTAAATACACTAGACAATTAAAACTTAAATAGCTTATGTTATGAATTTTAACTTTTTGGTAACAAACGAATATGGTAGTTCTCGCTCGATGTTCGCGTAGTAAAATAGCGTCGGGAGCGCGTGCGGTGAAATACCTAACCCATAGCTTTATTTACATAAATTATGGGAACGGGATCTGATCGAAAACCCGGATTTTTATTGTAGTCTGGGTTGAACATGGACTACAATTTAAACCCCGCCGGGACACTCCCTGGACGTCTTCCAAACTAGGACAAATCCGGGGAAACCCGGAAGGATGGCAGCCCTATGTGTGTGTCCTCACTGTATATTGAAACAGACAGCTTAATTGTTGGCATTAAATGATGATTAGTCGTTTTTCATTTTTGCCAAGTACAAAATTTTCTGTTTACTACACAATGGAAAAATACACTGAATATCCTCAGTGAGATCCTTAGCTTATATTAAATTGTAAACAATAATAAGCAATAATCTATTCCAACTAAAACTCCCAACAAAGTGTACAACTATATAGTTTATTATTGTAGTATGCAACAAGCTATTTTCTACAGCTTCACATATTTTGGGTAAGGGCAGGAATATTGTAATTATTCAAGCTAAAAAATGTTGTAGAAATTCAGCAGTGCCTTGATGTTGCTGAAGATGATCCCAATATGCAAAGACATTAAAACTTGCATGTGATGCCCTGCAGACACACCAGTTTCTTGCTCCTCATACATACCATTGAAGGAATATACCTAGAGGGAATTGGTGTAATCGATTTTGATCCTGTAGCACCTAGACCCTGGCCAGGTTTTCAGTCGCGGCATTGGCTCTGGATCCACTGTGTGTGTACTTGTCCCATTTCAAGATTACATTGTTGTATTTATACACATTATTTAATGTTGTAATGACGTGTTTATCACATTACTACTAATAGCTTGAAGAACCGCCATATTAACTCACTAGTTGTTAAGTTAAAATAAATAAGGATATACACAAATATTGTTGCAGTGCCATCATCATGTCTGGAAGAACAACCTAATATCTAGAAAATTCCATTTTATTGTATAGGTACATACTTTGTTATGTTCTTACCCACAATTTCTTTCATTATATGATTTTACTTATGAAGTTTCGCATTTCGCATTCGTTTCAAGCTATTGCATAGCTTTTATCGCGGGCTATGAGCGCGGCGACCGAATCAAGAAATTCCGTAAGGAAAAATCCTAACATCGTCTAACGTCGTTTCAGTTCGGCAGACTTCGGCACGGTGTTTGTGTGTGTACGACTAGACGTGTGCGTGTGGACTAGTTGCATGTATTGTAAGATAAGAAAAATATTTTAAACAATAATATAGTTTATTGCAAGAAGCATATTCTTTGGATTTATATGAGTCGTCGTCATGCTAGCAACTTTCGTGAATTTAGAGTATTTAATGAACACAGACTTTATAGAACATGATAAAAATTCCTGAATAACCTACATGTATTGTAAGATAATAAAAATATTTAAAACAATATTAACTTCTCATTTATTCAATAAAAGAAAAAAATTGTTTTCTTATCGGTCACCACGCTCAAAAAGTGCAACTTGAATTAATATCAAAGAAAAAATACTGCACAAATAACATAAATAAATAATTATAATTGCATTAGTTGATAAAAATGCTATGCAATTGCTTTACCGCGGCAGTCCCCGAGTGCCTACCTACGGTTGTAATCAGACGAAATCCACATTTTATTTCAAAACCATTCGATTCAAAAGAATTCATTTCTTTTAATAAAAAATTCACTAAAGAATTAACAAAGTCTTAAATTTTCAAAGATTTACATAGAATTCAAAAATTCTTTATGCTTATAAATGCCGGAATGATTATCAATGTCAACTAGACTAAACAATTTTCGAATTACTATTTAAGATGTCTGTAGCAAATGTTTGTCATTCAGTTCAAAGGAACTGATATATTTTTATTATATAACGAGCTATTCAAAAGATGTTGAACTTTTATAAGTAAATCTTTTAATTTCAGGCACAGATGCCAGACCCTAAGACTTACAAGCAGCATTTTGAGAACAAACATCCCAAGAATGATTTACCAGAAGATTTGAAAGCTATCTAACATTGTTAAATTTATTTAGTGTTATTTTATTATTTAATACATAAAATTGTAAAAATGATAACTCGTTGCATTTGTTTCATATGTATTTTTCATTAAAACAATGTATTCAGTGCAAATATTTTTCACTTAAAAAGAGGTTTAAAGTGGACACCATAAGTATTGGCAGCCGTAACATTGTTCGGCTCGTGACGCCAGCGACGATCTCATGTACCTCAAGGACGAGCATTAACTTAGATTAAATTATACACAATCTTTGTACATGGAGTTTTATTTTATTACATAACATAACATTTTTTCACATGCCAAAAACTTGGTTGCTTTTTCTTACCTTGTGAATAATTCCGCAACAAATAAAATTTTATGCACAATTTTACGATTAAAAGATGATCTTTTGTATTTTTAATATTATTATGTATATTTAAAAGTATAGTTTATATTAAAAGTTATTTGTATCAAATCTATGACACAAAAGCATTAAATTAAGAAGCTGTCGATTCGAGTACAGTATTATTGTTACTTTAATGCAAAATTGTTGTTTAATTACGATGTTATAAATAAAATTATGTTGCACGTTATTAGTATAATTAACCCATTTAAAAATACAAAATAAAAATTGTTCATTAGTTTTTTTTACAAGTATAATAATCTATGTGATTGATATTTTCCGAGTTTGCGTGCTGCACCGCTCACGATATCAATTACCGTAAGCAGTGCCACATTAAGTCCTATTATTTATTCTAATTTTTGAATAATTGTGGTCGCGTTTAAGATCAATTTTATTTTTATAGCATAAGTCGTACAATATGACACAAAATATGTCAAATACCAGTTTATTTTTGAGCGAAAACAATTGTATTGAAATTGCATATTATGGGACTCGCATGCGTTATGTACGGTCCAAATAATCCGTCCTCGCATTAGTTTTGATTTATTTCATCGTGATCGAGTACGTATGCAGCGACTGGGTAAAAGAAGAATTGCGTATATCCCGTGACGCTCTCACGTGGCTCTTCTCATAAGGCGGTTTCAAATATGGCGGTGAGGCTACGCGACACGTCGCTTACATCTTCTCGTAGGTCTGCACGTGTCCGCAGTCGAGGCAGGTGCGCGAGTACTCGGCGGCGTCGGCGGCGTACACCTCGTCGGCGAAGCGGTGCTCGTGCGGCGCGTGCGTGCGGTCGAACAGGCTGGAGCGCACGTCCATGCGCAGCGCGCGCAGGCGGCGCGCGGCGGCGCGCTGCTCGGCTAGCTGGCGGCGCGTGCGCCGCGCCTCGCGCTCCTCCTGCAGGCGCTCGGCAGAGCCCCACACGGCCAACGCGCGCGCCTCCACCTGCGCGCGCACGTACAGCCGCATCTCCGCAAAGCGCGCGCGGTGCGGGTTGCGCCGCCGCACGCAGCGCAGCGCCGGCTCGCGCGAGTCCAGGTCGCAGTCCTGCAGCAGGAACTCGCTCTTTGCCTCCGTGCGCGTCACCAGCGCGTGCGCCTCCTCGTCCCTGCCAGACCAGCTTCCGTCAGTGTGACGCATTCGCGGAGACGCTACGACCACCTCCCGCCCCGTCCGTACCTGCACTCGTCGCACACGCTGTAGTCGAACGTGTCGAACAGGTAGGACTGCGGGAAGAGGCGGTCACATTCGAGGCACCGCGGCTGCTCGGTGCGGTGCACGAGCGGCGCGGGGCGGGCGGCGTGCGGGGCCGGCGCGTCCACGACGTCCTCCTCCAGCAGGAAACCCCCTCCCGTGTCGAGGGCGCGCGTTTTGCCCACCGAAATTTCCCGTATGCCCTCCGAGGCGTCGGTTCTGAAAATATATTAATGAGAATTTCTATGCGATCTGTCGACTGAAAGTAATAAATCGTTATCAGAATACAGACGGCGAACGATGCACGATGCGCGCTTCTTTGAGTGCGCGCGCACGCTGTCGGTTACGCTCTATGCGCGCGCGCTGCGCCGCGCTCAACGCCTCCTGCGGCTCGAGCCGCTCCGGACTCTCGCTCGCCATCTTACTAGATTATCCCAAACTGTAAATCAGTAATCAATTTATTTCACACAATCTACACTCATGCCCTAATTTCAACAACAATAACTATTAATAGCGGAATAAGTCTCGAACTACTCGAGCACGAGTAAAAGAATAGACTTTAAATTATGCTTTGTGAAGCGACTTTGACCTGAACGGTAATCGATTATTTTGGTCAAGAACAAAGGCTCAGAACAAATAACTTAACTAGATACCTATATGTGAAACATTCAACCATACGTGTGATTCAACGATTAAGTATTACTTTATTTTTTGATCAGTGATATGGTATGTGAGTGATAATACTCTTCTCAATTGTGTCATCGCAACGAGTAAATCGAGTTAAAAGCAATTTTGTAGACCTTGCCTTTGGCTCTTATCGGCATTTTTGGATCGCAGAGGTCTCCTGTTAATGTACGCCACATATCCCACCCAGACGTCGTTCTGTGCGTGATATCGGCTGTTATCGATCCGTCTTCCCGATTACTGACCCGAGATATTTAAATTGATTTAGGTACCCTAGGTAGGACCACGCCATCCAATTAGACTTTCTTCTTCTGTCTTGGTTCTGCTTATGCATAATCCGTTTAACTCTAGAGATTTCCCCCCTTGTTCTAAACTTTCCTGTATCTCGTTTATACTGTCTCAGATGAGCGCAACATCATCCGCACATAAAAGGTTCTATGCTGTGGGTTTCTGGATTTTCTCGGTTCGGTAGTTCATGGTGATATTAAACAGCAAGAGACAATGTGCTTTCTTGATGAACTCCTACTTTCATGTCGAAGCTCTCCGACAGACCGGCTGGACTTCTGACACAGGTTTGTATATTATGATACATGTCTATAATGAGTTTTATATAGTGTTCAAGGGCATTTTGAGTTCTTAGACCTTGTCATATTATGGTCCTCGGCACACGATCAAAAGCCTCAAGATTTATGAATACCATCCACAGATTTTCTTTGTTTTCGCAAGCTTTTTCTATGAATTTTCGATGACATGATTGCAAGAATCGTGTCTGTTGTTCCCCTCTCAGAAGTAAAACTGAACTGATGTTCGTTAGGTTTAATGATGATGTTCGTTAAGGTTTTGAAGGCGTTCAATTAGGACTCGTTGCCGGATTTTGAGGGCGTGATGTGAGTTTTATACCTCGATAATTTGTACATTTTCGAACACCTTTGTTCTTATAGATTAGAAGACGAACAAACAAAAATTAATTTTTATATGTTAGTTATTGCCCATATACGTTTCACTACTGGGCCACTTAAGTTTTATAGAACAGTTTGCCCGCCCCGCTGTTCCAGAGCGTATTGGTGGATTTTATTTATCCCGAAATGCATATTCTAATTCCTCAGAAATGCAGATTACCTCTTCCTCCACTGCCGAGCACTTAGTAATTAGCACTTGAACAACCATAATATAATAACATGTAATGGCTTTGTAAAATGAAATCTTATATCATTGTGTTATCTTAAAAATCATTTAATTAAACATTAGGTGACAAAATACTTCAGCCACATGGCTGCTGCAGACCACGGACACCAACAACAAACTTCAAATGAAGAACATTGCATAATATAATTTTAAACTATTTCAACTATAATGATCTGCCTCACATCCTATAATTATAATGGTTTTCTAAATCTAAAACCTGAGAGGAGAATTCTCGGTGTGGCAGGGGGTCAAGGCAAAGGCAAATATTTGTATTTAATATTCACCTTTGTAAAGCAATTTTCAAGTCACAAAAGCTATGCCATATCAAGTCAATAGTAGTTTTACCTCTAGAAAATGAGGAAACAGCCTGTCATGAAATAATTTGTTAAGCAATTCATGAGAAAATGGCTGACTATATGGGGTACCAGAATTCTCCATCAGTAGGCTCAGTAACACGGAACATTAAAAACAAGAGGAAGCGAAGTGAAAGGGGCAGGCATGCCACAAATAAACGCATACTACCTAATTGACTGAAGTTGCAGGCTTATATCGTCACGTCGTATATAAAATTATTTAAAAATCACTCCATCTATCGTCCTAAAACGAAACGAGAATCTTTTACTGTCCTGTCCTGCACTGTCAGTTTCGTTGACCGAGTCAGCTACCTATTTGTTAAATTTGAAAATTAACTATTAAACATTTATTTTGTTCACTTAAAAAAATTCATTTGAAAACTGACTACAAATTATAATTTAAATGGATATTAAAAAGGGACGCGGGTGCAATTACACAGTGTCTGAGAAAGATACTTTATTGGAATTGATAAAAAGTAAGTAATATTTAAATCTTCAAATGAAACGTATTAACAAAAAATAAACATATTAACTTTGGCATCACAATATATTTACTAAAATGTAATGTATGTACCTACATAAAAACATAAATAACTTTCATAAAAATAAAGATGTTCATACTTTAAACCAGTGATGCACGTGATGGCGGGCCGACAGAAGTATAGGTAATTATGAACTGATGGCGGGCCGACAGAAGTGTAGTTAATTATGAACTGATGGCGGGCCGCCAGAAGTATAGGTAGTTATGAACTGATGGCGGGCCGCCAGAAGTATAGGTAATTATGAAATGATGGCGGGCCGCCAGAAGTATAGGTAATTATGAACTGACGGCGGGCCGCCAAAAGTATAGGTAATTATGAACTGATGGCGGGCCGCCAGAAGTATAGGTAATTATGAACTGATGGCGGGCCGCCAGAAGTATAGGTAATTATGAACTGACGGCGGGCCGCCAGAAGTATAGGTAATTATGAACTGATGGCGGGCCGCCAGAAGTATAGGTAATTATGAACTGATGGCGGGCCGCCAGAAGTATAGGTAATTATGAACTGATGGCGGGCCGCCAGAAGTATAGGTATGAACTGACGGCGGGCCGCCAGAAGTATAGGTAATTATGAACTGATGGCGGGCCACCAGAAGTATAGGTAATTATGAACTGATGGCGGGCCGCCAGAAGTATAGGTAATTATGAACTGATGGCGGGCCGCCAAAAGTATAGGTAATTATGAACTGATGGCGGGCCGCCAGAAGTATAGGTAATTATGAACTGATGGCGGGCCGCCAGAAGTATAGGTAATTATGAACTGACGGCGGGCCGCCAGAAGTATAGGTAATTATGAACTGATGGCGGGCCGCCAGAAGTATAGGTAATTATGAACTGATGGCGGGCCGCCAGAAGTATAGGTAATTATGAACTGATGGCGGGCCGCCAGAAGAAATATAGGTAATTATGAACTGACGGCGGGCCGCCAGAAGTATAGGTAATTATGAACTGATGGCGGGCCGCCAGAAGTATAGGTAATTATGAACTGATGGCGGGCCGCCAGAAGTATAGGTAATTAAAACAATAAAGAATTGATAATAACGTATTAAAATTGAAAAAGAATTTATTAATTTGAAGCGTGGCACTGCATAGTGCTTACAATCTTTTTTTATATTTGGCTCAAATTTACTTGTAGCAACACGTAAAACTGCTTCCAAACTTTCATTTGCAAGGCGGTTTCGATTTTTTGTTTTATTATTATTTAGTATTGAAAAGGTTTGTTCACATATATAGGTAGAACCAAATAAGCTGGCACATTTCAGAGCGTTTATGCGCAACTCTTTGTACGTATTTTTATCAATGCAGCGGTAAAATTTCAGCAAGTTTCTTTCGTTGAATTTGTTGCGTAAATCTTGGTCGTTTTGAATGTCGATAATTTCTAACTGCATTGACTCTGGCGCATTTTCAACTAAAATCGTGAAAGGATTGCTGAATATGTCCAACAGAGGTTTCACTTTTTTAAACTCCGAAAATCAGTCTTGAAAAGATTGAATCAAAATATCTAGCTTTTCTACATAACTGAAATTAATCGCAGTTTTGTGAATTTTTCAGCCATTTTCTTATAATTCGGAAAATGATTGTAACTTCCAGAATTCAATTGCGATCTGAAAAGTGTCAGCTTGCATTGAAAGGATGATACATGAGCGTAGAGCTGGGATATCAGTTGATTTTTGCCTTGAAGCCGTGTGTTCAAGACATTCAAATGATTTGTAATATCAACTAAAAAAGCCAAATCACACAACCAATCAGGATTTTTAAGTTCCGGGACATCCCTTTGCTTCTCCGCCAGAAATATTCCAATTTCTTCTATTAAATTTAGAAATCGTTCTAGTGTCAATCCACGACTTACCCACCTTACTTCTGTATAATACAGTAAATCTCCATATTAGCTTTCGATGTCATCAAGGAATTGTTTGAATTGCCTGTGATTGAGTCTTCGTGATTTTATGAAATTTACAGTCGAAACTACCACTTTCATGACATTTTGAAATTATTTTTTTTTAGAACATAGGGCTTCTTGATGTATAATGCAGTGAAACTGCATGAGATCTTCAGCGTTTATGTTTATTTCTTGCAGATGCATTTTCAGCAAAGTAACTAGCCCAGAATCGACACCAATCATCGAAGGAGCACCGTTAGTTGCAACTCCCGATAATTTTGATAAGTCCAGATCAGTTTTTGAACACTCATCCAAAAGTACATTGAGTATATCAACTCCTTTGGTTTGACCTTTCAATGAACACATTCCTAATAACTCTTCTAAGTATTTCGAATGTACGAGAGTATTATTTTTGCTGTCGGCGGGCCACCAGTATTCGACCGGCGGGCCGCGGTCTGTACATCTACGCTTGAAACACTAGGAACAAACATAAGCTTGTAATACCAGTTACTAGACTCCACAGAATTAGTAATTCACTAGCTTGCCAGGCAGACGTTGTTCTGCCCTTTTTGACGACCGTTTGTCATGTCCTATTAAAAATCGTTAAATTCGGAAAAAAAAATTGTGGGTCACTCATGGGCAAAAAACTATCCTATCTCTCAAGTTGGACGAAACTGCACACGGTGTGCAAATTTGATTAAAATCGGTTAAGTAGTTTAGGAGTCCATCGCGGACAAACAACGTGACACGTAATTTATATATATTAAGATTAATGGGG